GATATTCATTTCAAAATGGACACACTTAATTCTGTCCTGAAGTTAATTCTGACAAATTGTTATATGGCATCTATTGACCGTAAAGATGCATATTACTGTTCCTGTTGCCTTGAATTACCAAAACTATCTTAAATTCTTTTGGAAGGGTTCTTTTTACAAGTATACTTGCTTCCCTAATGGATTATGTATTTGCCCACGCAAATTTACAAAACTTTTGAAACCACCTTTGGCTCATTTAAGAGAAATTGGTCATGTGTCTTCGTCTTATATAGATGATTTGTTTCTGCAGGGAGATGATTACAGAGATTGCGCACAAAATGTGATTGATACTGTCAATCTCTTTGAAAAATTAGGATTTGTCTTACATCCACTAACATCTGCCTTTATCCCTTCTCAGACAATTAGTTTCTTGGGGTTTATTATTAATTCTGTTAATATGACTATTGAATTAACACCTGAAAAAAAGATTAAATTAAAGACAAAATGTCAAAATTTATTGAATGCCCATAACCCCAAAATAAGGCAAGTTTCCCAAGTACTGGGTTTATTAACCTCAAGAATGCCTAGTGTCATGTATGGCCCCTTATTTTTCAGGCATTTAGACAATGACAAAAATATATATCTGAAAAATCATTGTGGCAACTTTGATTCTTCTATGGAAATTTCTCAGAAATCGAAAGATGATCTGGTCTGGTGGATAGCTAATATTCAGACATCTTTCAGCACTCTCAGACATCCTCCAGTGGCCTTTACAATTTTTACAGATGCCTCCCAATCTGGGAGGGGAGCAGTTTTTGGGGGTATTCACATAGGTGGTGACTGGTCTCAAAGTGAACGGAAGGAACACATCAATTATCTAGAAACTTATGCTGTTTATTTGGCATTAAAGAGTTAGGTCCCCAGAATAGTAAATAGTCATATTAAATTATTCATTTATAATACTACTGCCATTTCCTCTATCACACATATGGGAACCAGTCATTCTGATAAATGTAACTATTTAACTAGTAAATTATGGCTTTTTGCGAAAAAACATGATATTTGGTTAACGGCAGCCTATATTCCAAGTACTGACAATAAAGCAGATTTTGAAACTAGGAAATCCCGGAGGGACAAAGAGTGGATGTTAAGAAAAGATCTTTTTCAAAAATCAATGAAAGGTCTAGATGTTAATCCTGATATGGATCTTTTCGCGTCAAGATTGAATTATCAGTTTAAACCATATGTCAGTTTAAACCATATGTATCATATATGTGTGATCCAGAATCTAGTGCGGTGAATGCCTTTACTATTCTCTGGACATATTTTATATTCTATGCATTTCCACCTTTCAGCATAATTCCAAATTGTCTACAGAAGATACAAGAAGACCAAGCTACCGGGATTCTTGTTATACCTTATTGGAAAACACAAACATGGTTTCCAAGATTAATGAGAATGCTCATCCAGAATCCTATTCTTTTACCTCAAGGGAGACAACTACTGATATCTCCATTAACTCCAAATCTAGCCCATCCTCTACACAAACATCTGCAACTTCTGATATGCCATATCTCAGGAAATCCCTTGAAAGTCAAGGATTATCAAACACAGCTACAACCACAATTATGCAATCACAGAGGAAAAGCACAACTAAACAGTACAAAACTTACTTGGCGAAGTGGGAAGAGTATTGCAATACCACAGGGATTAATCCCAATAATGGAACTTTAACAAATGGGATTAACTTTTTAGCAACACTCTACGATGGAAAACTAAGTTATAGCGCAATCAATACAGCGCGTAGTGCCCTGTCAACAATAATTCCTTTATGTGATAGCAAAACCATTGGGAGTCACCCGCTTGTCTGCAGATTCTTGAAGGGAATATTTAATGTTAAACCAAGTCTACCCCGTTACCATAAAACTTGGGATCTTAATGTGGTTGTGCAGTTTTTCCAAGCTCAGCCCCCTGTGGAACAACTGACTCTTAAAAATCTAACTTTAAAATTGTGCACATTATTAGCTATTCTTAGTGCACAAAGATGTCAAACTTTGAAATCACTGAATTTAAATTCTGTTGACATTTGTGATGATAAGTATGTGTTCCATATTATGGAATCTATGAAGCGAACTAGACCTAATTATCATGTGAAACCTTTAGAATTATTAGAATTTAAGGAGGATAAAACTGTGTGCATTGTTACAGTTCTTAATGAATATATTCAACGCACTTCTTGCTTAAGAAAACTTGAAAAACAGTTATTCATTAGTTATTTACAGCCTCACCGAGCAGTTTCAGTTGACACCATATCGAGATGGATCAAACAGACTCTAACCGATGGTAGTATTGATACATCTGTATTTGGAGCACCAGTACACGGTCTGCAGTAACCTCAAAAGCGAAAATATCAAATATTCCTGTTGACTTAATTATGAGTACTGCTGGATGGAGTTCATCTACCACCTTTCAGAAATTTTACTTTAAAGACATTTTAAAACCTAGTAATTTTGGTTCTCAATTGCTTGAAGCCTCCGTTTTTAGAAAAAACTTAGATAGTTTAACTCTCAGAGGCATAGTTACATGGCCAAGTCAGGCTATCTCATTGTTTATTTGTCATTTTGTAACATGGTTGTGTAGTGACGTAACTATGATGATGTAGAATTTAAAAATTAAACGAGCTTACCTTCAGGGAAGTGAAGTTTGATTGTAATTCTACGAATCATAGTAAGGCACGGAGAAATCATGTGCCCTCCCAATTCGGTTGATTTGGCACCTACCCTTTTTCTCGTTACCAACCAGTACTGAAATATACTCTCGCCTGCTTTAAAGAATGAACCTGTATGTCCGCGCCTTCTCACATGATTTCTCCGTTCCTTACTATGATTCGTAGAACTACAATCAAACTTCACTTCCCTGAAGGTAAGCTCGTTTAATTTTTAAATTCTATGTTTGTCTTTAAAGGTCGTAAAGCTCTACCTCAATATTACCCACAGCCTTCCACATTTGAGACATGAATTATTGGTCCATTCCGATCATTAAAGATATTGTTATATTACTGTGAAAATATGGGCTCCTGGTATCTAATATTTAAGACACAGTGAACAAATTCAAAACCGGTACACGCCGGCGTGTACTCTCTGCTCTCGCGCGCAGTGTGTAATGAGTCTCCTTGTTGAATTGGGGTCAATATCAGTGCGTAAGTTGATCGTCAAATCTTAATTCTGATGTACAATCAATCGGATTAAAACACAGATCTCTATTTCGTTTCGTTTTTTATAATTTCGATGGCCTGCACGAACAGCAATGAGGGTAATTATTTTTTGTTAAAGCCTGTGCCATGCACTGTCAGTGTCATTGACAATTTATACAATACTAAATGCTATAATAGAAAACTAATTTTTAAAGCTTATAATTGATATTGAACAATACTCAATAGCAATACAATTCTGTTGTTTGCATACATATTTATATAAAAGAGCTTAAAGGGCGTATAGCTCTATTCTTTGGAGCATTAAAACAGCCGGAAATGGTTCTAAAAGAACACAATAATGTAATATGAGTGTATATAAAGTGATTTAAGTTCATTTAAAAAAAAAAAAAAAATTGTGTTGTAATTGTGTTCGCTGAAATACGTGAAAACTCCAAATTGATCGACAGTCGTTTGTGTCTGCTACGCGTTTTACATTGATTTTGTGAACCTACTTCCGCGTTGTTTTATAGAATATGTTTTTCTTTGTTCATAACAAATGACACTCGATACCATAGAGTACATGGCGTCGTGTACTCAAATTTCAATTATCCTATGGTTAAAATAAATTGACTTTTGGACACTGCTGATGCAGCATGATAAAATGAAATTATTATTACTATTTTAAATTCCTTATTTTAGTTTTGGTTTTAGTAACAACGATTGATATTTGATTTAAACTTGAGTTGATAATCGAAAGAACATAGTTTGCTCTATATACATCTCTTATCTATGTGAAGGTCCTAAATGAACAATAATTAATATCAATTATTGTAAAAAAAAAAAGTAAAGCAAACGCGAACTTGTTACAAACTACAAATAACTAAGGTATGTTGTTTGTGTATGGCTGAAGCAACCACCATAAAGGAGGGAGGGGGGGGGTCACTGTGGCTAAGTGGGTAAGACGCTGGCTCGCGAGCCTGGAGGTTAGTGATGCAGGACGGAGGGCCTGACAAGGACAGCTGTCTAGTCGTTAGCATGGGACGAAAAACCGAGGTCCCGTGTACGCATTGGCGTGCACGTAAAAGGTCCCCTGACAGTTGGAATTCGATATAAGAGTAGGTCGTGGTGCCGCTGTCCAGGCAAAATTTCCCCCATAGCACACTTTATGGCGTACGCCCATCTTCATTAGCCCAGTTCAGAGCAGAAGAGTGGGACGTTAAACCCCAGTTCATTTCATTTCCACCAATAACGAGCCATGTTTACTACACAATAGGGAGTATACAAATAATTATTATGACTTGTGATATGCAGGATTAAATATAATACCATCTATTCTAAAATGTAATCAAAGTTCTTAAATCAATGCAAAAGAAAAACAAAAAACAAAAAAAATGTCAGGTGTTTCAGAGTAATTTAACAAGACTGTACGAGCTTTACCATTACCGGTGAAGCCTACATTTCAACCAACTCTGGGTCATAAAACATTAATTTGAATGCATTATCTCCATGTATCGAAATCGTTACACCTAGTTTCGGAGAAAAATACCTGTGTTCCTTCCATGTATACCATGGTCTGTTTCTGTTGGACAATGAGGGATATACATTTGTATAGACAGTTATAAATTGATTATTTACAAATCTGTTACCGACATACGTTGTAAAGTTTATAAACTGATATCTTTTTAATGTGAAAGGTTTAGGTATATCTTCGATATCTTAGCCCAATTATTTTTATTACAGCTATTTGAACTGCATCAACCACTGTAACTGGAAATGATTTTTCACATCGGAGTGGATTTAACAATCTTAATAAAGATTACAGAATCAATCCTTTTGATATAGGTTTATTCTTCAAATAAATAAGCTGTTTAATTAAATAGTATATTAGATACAGAGCTGACATTTCTCGCTATAATAGTTAAAAAGAGAATATGTTGAAAATTTCAGTCAAATAATTCACTCTGAGTCGAGTTATCGCGGTTTTGTTTTAAACAATATTTTATTCAGGATGACTGAATGGGATTGGGGTTCAGGCTTAGCCTATGTAAGACACCGTTAGAAGAACGGCGTGGCCTCGATTGTCATTGCTACCGTTGTTAAGATAATAAACAAAGTTTCGATTATCCATTTTTAAATTAAATCATTAAATGGCTGAACCGTTGTTATCTACTTAAAATCGGAGCCATTCGATGGCATCGAGAGTTGATTATAGTCTTGTCATGTTAATTAATGTCTAATTAATAATTTATATAACATTTAAGGCCTAAAGAAAGACCTGCAATAGGCAGATTTAGCTCTTGCATAATGCCTGTTTAAATACATTTATGACAGTGGTTTCAGATGACGTATTTCATTTCATTTCAAAGATTCATTTGACCCGGCATAGAACCAAAGCTGGCTGTATAATTATATTTCTATGATTGTGACATGTTGGGCTCATTTTGGTTATACAGATTTAGATCACCAGAATGTTCAAAAATATGTTATTGGCAACGAAAATATCATGGATTTAACATTTAATCTAATGGGTGAGAGAATTACTTGTGTTAACCATATCCACTGTACATAACAGAGTTGTTTCCCCTGAATCTTACACACTAACGTGTTTCGTCATGTTGCATGGTAAGCTTTTACATGCACGCTATGTGTACACGGGACCTCGGTTTTTCGGCGCATCCGAACGGCTATCTGACAAGGGAACCACGCCAGAAAATCAAGATGAACTTTCTCGAACACGGGACCTCACTGAGCCATAATGGCTTCTCGAAATGGTGAACGTCGTCTGAATTATAAACAACCGTGATCTCAAATTGTTGTTTTTCTTCTGAAAAAATGTTAATAAATATGTGTAATTTCTTATAAAATATGAGATTATTAGCTTCTGAAGTTTTAATAGTAAAGATGATGTGATGACATCACTGTCTGTTACCAAACAGATTAAAGGTCCAACACATGAAATTGTCCTGAATAACATAATAATAATACATGTAAACTTTAAAAGATTTTTCCATCCACAGAATTTACGTGACATATTATGTTAAACAATCCAAAGATCTTTAATGTGGTTGATCCATAACTTCTTCTCGAAATTTCCGGGTGTGACGCAACTAGTTATAAGGTCGTGTTGTCGGGTAATAGTGTCGTATTATCCCATGTCATTTTGGAACACAAAATCGATTAGCTTTATCTACAAACGTAAAGTGACAAATGGTCATTCAACAAACAACATATACAATCCAATGCAATCGACATTGATATATTGAGATAACACTTTCTGTGGTCGATTCATTCCGTGGAAACTGCATCATTATAATATATAGAAATTATCTATCAGATATCTAACAAGCTGTATTGTCACCACAATGATTGTATACACTTCAATTGAATTGTCTACAGACAACATTTACTAGCATCACCCGTTCAAACTGAATCCCAGCACACTTTTTACAATTATTATTCCTGTCACACTTCAGGTGGTGAGGTGCTTGCTTATCAGATCGTCGTCTAATATCTCTTCTAATAGCAGAGCATCGTCCCGAACAGAACTCATTCATACTTGGTTCCTTCAAACCGATGTTTCATAAGTGGGTAGATAATAGCGACTATCTAAAGATATTTGACAAGCTTTATTATCAATTCCACTGATTTTATACACTTCAACTGGTGTTGGTTGAAAGTCCTGAAATAAAAAACACCAAAATGTGAAAATAAATTTAACTCATACATTGTGCTCAGTAAGACCGTGAAAATATGAACGCCAGTGTACGGAGCGAGATATCAATATATTTAAATTACTGGATACGGTTTCGCATTTGAGGAGTTTGTACAGCTAAAACATATTTATTCTACTTGTGTATTAATACATGCTTTAGAAACACCAGATACAAAAGCAGCTTTGTTCTGGAGTATAGTCAGTCAGTTCAAAGGATTTTAAAAGATGTTTGGTTCTGTGTGAATGCTCATAATCTCGAGTCATCAAACCTCATACCAGGATATCCTTCAATTGGTCTCGACAACAAGAAGCAGATATGTAAAGCATTATGGACTACATTATGTACTTCCGTTCATTTGTCAGTGACTGAGGGCGTTGGGGGCAGTATTTGAATTAGATACCATGTAAAATGAATTTGATAATTGTGCTTCGACTCTTGTCCTCCATGCGAGTAGTGTATATTTTTGAAGCTCGTGGGGCTGACAGGTAAATTATGCTCGTTTTTCGGTTGGAACGAAAAAACATAGTGGCTTGTACAAATTGGTATATAATGCGGGTAAAGTTTACCCGCGGAGTTGGAATTTAAAGAGGAGTAGGTGGAAGCGCCCCTGTCTTGGCAAAATACCCCTTCCCGCGTACACACTCCAGGATTGCGTACATGGAACTATCAGATGTTAGTCTGGAAAGTAAAGTATAGTCCATGTATCGTTGGATCAAAGAACCAATGAAATATTATACCAATGTCAATAACAAACTTACCTCTTTAAAACATGACACTTCATACTCTGTGTAATACGCAAAAACTAGCACCCCTATAAATAAAGCAGACATGATAACACCGACTACAGCATCTACATAGTTAGGACTTTCCATATCTCTTATAAAAATTACAACCTCAATAGTTAAAGTTGATTACTAATGATCATAACCATATCCTATGGGCTTCATAATAAGTTATAGACATTACTATTATGACTAATGAACATTTTTGTTATTCACGTGTTACATATTAGACTAGCTTATCAGTCGAGGTCACCCTTATCACTCTAGATCATGTCATGTTGAGTCAAATTATAGGTTTAAAGATCGGAGAATACTTCTACCTGTCGCAATGAATCTGCATCAAAGTAAACGTGGATCAGTGAGTAAAGCACAGACACACTAACCAGGAGGTCTGGGGTGTTCGGATGGGACGAAAAACCGAAAGTCTCATTTAGACGTTGGTGTGTACGTAAACGAACCATTAACATTTGGGTCCCACTTGCTTTTCGTGCAAAATTTCTTCCCTCATCACAAACTGCATGACGTATGTACACTTTAATTAGGTTTTAGGTTGGAGCAGAAAAGTAGGGCGTTACACCCCCACCCTCCCCATTCCATTCAATCATTCACCAAAGTAAAACTGCTGAGAAACGTGGCTTATGGTCACCCCAAGAAAAACTAAGTCATTATGGAACTAGCGTATTATGAAATATCTTTATTTCAATAATTTGTTTCAACACAGGACTCTTTAACAGTGAAAGAATGGTGAAGGAAAAGAACAATGTTTGCCTGGCGACCTCAACCATAATCCCTATCATGTACAAATCTGGGGTCGTTACCACGACGTGTTAAAAGTTTATCATAAGTAAATAAAATATCATTACGATTAGTACAGATGTGAAGTCTTATATTTATTGATAGAATGTGTTTATAGCTATATGCGTATAATTTATTACAGATATAATTTGACGCCATCAATATATTATATAAATGAGATTTTAAGTTTAGAAATATGTAAGAAGTTTATCACAAGTACATAATACCATTACTATCTTGACTATAAAGCCATTTGCTCATTGATAGATAATATATGTACTTATAGACCTATAATAATTTTCAGAGATTAAACGTTTCATTTATCCATTGATAAAGCCATATATATTTTCTTGGCAGTTGAAAGCCTATATACATAACGATTGCTTGAAAATACACAATTGAATTAGCGAAGAAAATATATTTGTTGCTTAAACATTCCATCCTACCAGATGTTTTTTAGGCCAAGTAAATTTTAAAGTGGTTTTATTATTTGAGACTATATTTCTATTTTCCTGGTCTTCGAAGGAATTGTTAGTGAGCAGAAATTCGCCTGTATTTCTGTTATCGTTCCTTACTTAAGTCAATTATATAGAAGGATAACTCCTGTGTTTTCCTTTTCCTTTCGTCACTTCCGTTTCTCGAAATCTTCGTCATGCATCTATCGTAGCAATGGTCTATGTGTTAAAATTATATTTGGAACGTGTTTAACAGTTAGTGGTTTATTATTGTGTATATTGTTAATTACATTATATATGGAGCATCAAAATGTATTAAGCCCTTATAAGCCCATAAAGGGACCCGTAGGTCTTAATCCAACCCTGTGAATCGTTAAAAGTTCACATTGGAAGTCTCTTGTCTCATTCTTCAGTATCTGAAATTAGATAAATGTTTAATCTATAAACATAACCATAATTGCCATGGAGCAAGGCAATATAATTAAAATTAGATAGTAATTTCATTTCGTTCTTTTGTTCTTATTTTTACACTACATTATAATCTAACCACCGCATATGGAGATATTTTGATTGATGACATCGGGTAAAGATGATATCTTATTCCTTTGTATCTGCTTATAATAACAATGCACGACACTGTTAGAGAGAGGGGCAGAGAGTAACAGTGTGGCTGCTCAGAAAGTTGGCCTGTTGGTCTAGAAAAAAATATAATAAAAATACGTTCTGATATACACAAAACATGACAACAGTTTATCTCCACCTTTATTACAGTCTACCGCCATGTGCTACCAATACAAGCGACTTGACAACCTAGACGAACAAGGGAGGTCGCTACAATAATAGACTTAGGTCATCAGACCAATATTCATACCACGTTAGTATTTAAAGGGCGCGAACCATATTAATAAATGTAGCCAGAACTAAACTATGCAAGGCGTGTCGACTTGACACCGCTACAGTACTGCTTAAATCTACGTTGTAATATACTTAAACATACATTATGCAAGAGCTAAATCTAATTATTGCAAGTCTTAATAGATGTTATAGAAATTATAATTTTGATCTTTATTTAAACAACAAGCCCAAAATCAACTCTGTAGACCCACGGATGGCTCGGCTACAGCTTGGATTTAAATAGTATTTCACTGATTGATGAAATCAAAAATGGCACCCCATGCGGAGATTACTAACCGTTACGTTGACGTCATCAGTTAGATCGAGGCTAAATGATAGAGTGTACGAAGCGAAGCCGCTGTTGAGCCATGCCGCATGTCAATCAAATAGTTCGATATACACGGCCTTGATATTATTTTCAGTTGTTGTTAAAATGAGAGTTTGGATGTTGGTATTATACGCTCTTTTGTCACTTGCGTTTACAGAAAAATTGATAAACATCGCAGCTAACATCACCCCAGTTGAATTGCAGCCCCATTGGATCACTGTAGTGTTTCCTATTTGTCTGCTTCGGGAGTCACGTAGTCACGTACAGTACAAAAGTACACGCAGGCTAACACGAAGTCGGCTATAATTATGCCTCATTGGTTTGGTCCATTCCTTTCAAACTTTCGCTTCTTATCTATATAATAAAAGTCTTATTTTTAATTTGTAGTAAAAATAAATGTGATACGAATTGAACTGAAACCCCGTCTCAAGCCATTGAAAACGTTACTTGATAATCGAGATTATGTAGGTGGAGTTAACGCCTGTCAATCAAACGATCGGCCAAGGTGAAGATATATTTGACTACCATTTCTAGTCAAATATTACAACGATGATAACTTTGTTCAGAATAAAGTAAAGTATTCTTCTTTGATCGTCTACTTTTGAACTGTTATAGCAAGAATGGCCAACTCTCTATAAAAATCTCCCATAATGTATCTTTAACTTATCCTACAGATATAAACTATTGAAAGCCATAGTCATTTTCCTAAAGCAATGGCCAGAGAAATCCCTTTCTGACCATTGCCGGACTGGTTTCTGATACTTGAGCTTTTGAGGGAGTGTGTCTATTCTTCCCGTTCAATCAAATCTATCCCAAGTACAGCAACCTGACAGCCCTTCGTTTAATCTGGGGTCTTCCCTAAATAATTGGAGAGTGATTTAAGGTATTAAAAACGGTGAAAGTATGTTCGTCTCCAAACAGTAATGTTAACATTGTATCCGTTTGATAGTCTCGTTTGTCACGCAATTAGTTTTTCTGCAATATTCTGCTATGCACTGGTTAATTGAGCATTATACATTCGTGAGTCATGTCGGAACAGTATGTTGAAAACATAATTTGGTCCAATTTGGTCTGTTTAAAGCTTTTAAAGCTTGATGATATTGTTACGCAGTTAGCTATTGGTTATTGACCAGTCATAATTTGGAACAGAAATTTGCTTCCTTTACAGCAATTTTAAGTGGGATTAGCTCTAATCAAACGAAGCACTGCGAGAATTCAATCTGTAAATATATTTTAAAACTAACCTCTTGGTGATGACCTGCGCCGAGCAGGGAATATGCGGTTTATTGGTATACACACCGGACAATCAGTTCTGGTACAAATTTTCCAATGAGTTATTATTCGGCGAGAGGTAAAACAGTGGGCAACTAAAATATAGATTCAGGATTTTAGATATTACATCCGATCACGGTTATCACAACAAGAATATTTGGATATTTTTATCCAGAGTTAAAAGCTTTATTGTAAAGAAGAATTGACACAACCTTAAAGTAGCAATAGTCTCATTGGACAAAACAAAACATGCCCAACAACACTGGGCCATATAAACTTTCTGAATCTTACAAACTTCGACATTTCTCAAATGCAATGATTAAAAATCACAATTCTTTATATATTTCAAAACCAATATAACGTTTGTTTACAGTAAACGACTTTATCGAAAGATATACATAGGCATTATTCGAGATAAAGAGCTAAAGCGCAATACAAGCACTCATTTCTTAGATAAACCATTGTTTTTGTCGAATTTTAAATTGTACCTCGTGTCATTATATATCCCAGAAGCCCAGGGGCCCAGGAGCCCAGGGGGGGGGGGGTGTCAGTCTATGAAAAGTGTACCAATTTTAACCCATATGGTATCAATACATACATATCTGGTATTATCAAAATGTAAGTCTGCCGGGTATCTGGTATTGGGTATTGGGTATTGGGTGTGGCTGTAAGGGCTAAGATTCTGGACATGAATTATTGAGTTAGATTAGCGCCAAAGTGTACCTTACATCTTCAAGTATTACAAACCAGTGGCTGTCAGACAGGACACGTCCACATTTTGCAAGAGATGGATAGAGGACAAGCTAACAACAAAAATGATTTTTTGTACAATCAGGGGCCATAATCCACAAAGTTATGGTCTTAAATGCGCAAATATCAAAAGGGACTGAGATTTTTGGAATATAAAGATATGTTTTAAGTATCATCCAGAGGGTCAGTAACCTTTGTATTACATACTTATTCACAATTTGCGTACAAAGAGCGGCCATTTTGTCGGGCAGTTTCATTTCGATTTTCCCGAAATTCCAATTCAACCTTCATTATGGTGGAATGGTGATATATCTCAACGGTTTTTAAAATCGGAAAAAAAATATGACTTCTAGAGAATCCACAAGCTAAAAATGCGAATTTTCGACCAATCAGGGGCCATAATCCAAGAAGTAACGTTCAGATATGTGTGATTATCAACAGAAACCAAGATCCGTATGATAAAAACATATATTTAAAGTTTCATCCAAATCGGATAAAAACTGTAGCCTCTAGAGAGTCCACAACCTTGATATAAAATATTTTTACTCTATTTGCGTACAATGTTTGTCCGATTTTCACTAAATTCGAACTCAACCATCACTAGTGTATTAACTGTGATTTATTCAAACGTTTTTTTATAAATCGGATAAAAATTATGACCTCTATAGGGACCACAAGCTCAGGGCCATAATTCAGGAAGTTACGATCCGATATGCGTACAAGGGACGGCCATTTTGTCCGACATTTTTGGTCCAATTTGCACAAAATTCGAACTCAACCATCATTAGGGTGTACAGGTGGTATACTAAAACGTTATTTTAAATCAGATAAAAATTGTGACCTCTAGAGGGACCAAAAGTTAAAAGCGCGATAGACTGTTGAATAACTAGTTCGTTATTATTTCAATATGTAACTGACTTTAGCATACTGTCAACTGATATTTCAGACCACTTTCCAATAGAATGCATATTTAATGTCTGTAAAAGTTATAAAAAGTCAGATATTGCTAGAGAATGTTTAAATTCAAAATTGAAGTATAAATGGGACCAAAACAAAGCAACGGATTTAAAGTAGCATTACAGGGTATTGTAACAAATGGTGAATTATCCCATTCTTGTATTGTTGTAGAAAACAGAGTAAATGATGCAATAAAAATCTTATGTCAATCAATACAATATTCTGGCAAAGGTATGCTTAGAAACAACAAACCTAAATATACAAATTGTCAACCTATTTGTGGACCAGGGTACGGCTAATAAATACATAAATCTAAATAACTACAGAAAGAGTCGAAAGCCTTTTGACCTACAAACCAAAAATATGTTCAAATCACTTTGTGAAGAACAAAAGCAGAAAGTAGATAATAGGGGTAGGATAAATAGTCTTATAGAGATCACAGATCAAAATGCCATGTGGAAAAAAATAAAGTATTTAAACAAAACAAAGTTAAATAACAGTATTTCAACTGATCAGTGGTTTGAACATTTTCAAAATCTCTTAACGGAGAATGAAGCATCAAGCGAGTCGGCCTTATGGCAGGAAATCAATCTAACCCTGAGTGACCCCACCGAAGTTGTTTCGGATATCTTAGATAATCCAATAAGTGACGAGGAAATCGTAAAAGCACTGAATCAGATGAAAACTGGCAAAAGTGGCTTGGAAGATGGTCTTGTAATCGAGATGTTCAAAACCACCATTGACATCTTACTTGTATTGTTATGTTTTTTTACTCCATAAGATCTTAATTAGTAGTACGTTTCCAGAGAGCTGGAGCAGGGCTGTAATATATCCTATTTATAAGAAGAGTGATGTTACCAACTCATGTAACTATAGAGGCATCTCCTTATTAAATGTAATGGATAAAATATTTACTAAAATTATAAATAACAAACTTATAATTTGGGGTGACATTGAGAATAAATTTAAAGAGCAGCAAAATATAGGCACGGCTACACAACAGTTGACAACAGTTTTTCTTTATATGCTGTTGCGCAAAAGTACCTGACCAAAAAAGGGAGATTATACTGCATCTTTGTTGATTTTTCATCTGCGTTTGACTTAGTACACCATCCCACCTTACTGTATACGCTTATTAAAAATAAGGTCAGTTCTAAAATTGTTAAATCTATGTATGAAAATATGAAATCATGTGTTTTAGCTAATAATGGTCTCTCTGAGTACTTCAGATGCACAATTGGCACAAAACAAGGGTGCGTGCTCAGTTCTTTTTTATTTGTCATGTTCTTAAACCAAATTGTAGAAGATCTTGAGTAAAAAAACACATACTTGAGAAATGTGAAAGCAAAGGCATCTATATAGATGCAAGAACGCCGAATGTAATGCAACTGTTATTTGCAGATGATATGGCAAGTATCTCAGACACTGTAGGGCAATTACAAAAAAAACCAAATTGATGTATTGAATAATTTCTGTAAAGACGATGGCATGAAAGTAGACACAAGTAAGACTAAGGTGTTAGTATTTAAGAGAGGAGGAAAGTTAAAATCATATGAAAGTTGAAGTTATCAAGGCGAGAAACTAGAGGTTGTAAATGAATATAAGCAGTTTTAGGTGGTACAGATTTCAGCTAATCTACCCTAGCTGTGGTCTCGCAATTACATAACTCTGTCACGGGTACCCCACCACTAGAAATGTCTGTCAGGGTGTTTTTTTGTAATACTAGAAGATGTAAAGTACACTGCTGTACCATTCTCATATGATACACCCACCACCAGATACCCGGCAGACTTTCTACATTCTGAGGATACCAGATATGCAGGCAATGATACCACAGGTGAAAATTAGTCCACTTTTCAGCTAAGCTGAAACCCTTGGGCTCCCGCCCTAATACCACGTGTAATTAAAGTAAAGATACGTGTAACATTGCGCATATAATAGTCCTTCAAAAAAACCTAATTATTTTCATATAAACGCTTTCGACATGGGTTGTATCGAAAAGATATAACTGGAACATTATGTCATCAAATCATTATGGCATTGGCTTGTTTAAAGAAAGCTTAAATACAGCAGAAGAAAATGCCTACCTAGACAACACTTTCCAGCCGTACATACGCGCAAATGCTGTAATACATTCTTCATTTTACGACAATAAGGCAATGAACAATTATGTTGCATGTTCTGGTCGTCTCGTAATTGGCACCTATTAGCATGAAGCATTAATACTAACAGTAGCTGGGTAAGTTTTGTTTTTTTGCTGTCCTGAAATCAAATCCATAATAATAATAATATGGTAATGCCGAACTATATTCTGAAGTTAGAGTAATTTTGCGTGATTGAAATTTTTCGGAAAATGTCAAATTTCTCAATGCTTAAACATTCATTATGCAAGAGCTAAATCTGCCTATTGCAGATCCTTCATTAGGCCTATTAATATTATTAGACATTAATAACTTATCCTGATCAATATACAACTCTCGATGTCAACGCTAGCCTGCGATATTTGTTGGATTAAGATCCGATTTGCTGCTCAACTTTCATTAATGATTTAATCATGAAATGGATAATCGAGACTTATGTTTTTATCGTACCGACTTTAGTAATGATGATCGAGGCTAAGCCGAATTATCAATCGCTAAAATCTCGGTTCAGAGTGGATCAATTTGACTGAAATTTTCAGCAAATTCCATTTGCATTATCTAGTTTTTAACAATTATAGTGAGAACTGCTAGCTCTTTATCTAATCTCCCATAATATATCTTTAATCCACGCTAATTTGTACACAGACAAGCGATAGAAATAGAAAAGATATGTTGCCAGGCAACGAAACATGCGCCCAGAGCAGCTAAATCGTCCGAAAGTCAACAAGGGTAGTCCCAAACATGTATTTATTAATTTGTAGGTAAGGGGGGGGGGGCATTTATAAGACCATTTCGTACAGACCAGATTACAATTGCTGTCGTTTGAGGGATCAAAATGTTCTATACAAACTGAAACAAGCGCCTTAACTCTGGAAGTAATTTACAGAAATTGTTAAAATTTGACAGAATCTTTCGTCTTACTAATTTAAATAATGCATATAAACTTCATTTAGATCCGATGATAACATTTGTTGTCAGCGAGTTCACAAGGAAAGTGAAACAAGGGCCATAACGCTAGAACTAATTAACGGAAATTACTGAAATTCGATAGGCTTCTTTGTTTCACCAATTAAATGATGAATATAAATATACAGATCAGATGACAAGTTTTGTTGTTCGAACGTTCACAAGGTTCAGCAAAGTGAAGCAAGTAAAGCAAGTGCCATAACTTTAGACCTATTTAACAGAAATTGCTACTATTCAATAGGATTCTTCATTTCATTAATTTACAAAGATGCATATAAATATACAAATTGCATACATATCCGAAGATAAAGTTTATCGTAAGGGCGTTCACAGCGTTTGACAAAGTGAAACAAAGGATATACATAATTAACGGAAGTTGCTGAAATTCAATAGGATTCTTCGTTTCGCTAATTTAAAGGATGCATATAAATTTCATACAGATCGGATGGTAATTTGAGTCGCTAGAGTGTTCACGGGGTACAATAAAGTGAAACAAGGACCATAACTTCAGACGAAATTAAAATCAAATAGGTTTCTTCATCTCAGTAGAGTAAACAACATATATCAATTTCAAATTCAAAATTATGATAAATGTAATGCAGTCTTTAGAGTGTTCACAAGAAAGTGTGGACGGCGAGCAGACGGGGGCGACGGCGATATACGACCAAATTTCCATGTGGGCATATAAAAAGTAATGTGTGTCGGTACCACTTACATAGGAGCAGAATAGATCTTTGGTTCGTCAGATCTTTGTACATACTTATGTACATAAAGTTCATAAAGAATAAGCAAATAAAAGGGTTTCCCAAATTAGTTCTAAATGCAACCTGGTACCATAAATAAGTATGTCATTTGTTGTATATGTTTGTGCTAAATATATTTATCTGTGTATCTACCATACTCACCTACAAATTGCATTTGAGTGAGTGTGACGGACAGTGACAAGAATTTGCCCCAATTTCGCTGTTGATGCAAGGGCCCGTTGACATTTTAAGCCAGGGCTCCTGTGCAAGTTGGGAGTCACGGTGGCGAAGTGGGTAAGACTGGAAGATCGCGTATTCGATCCCAGCATTGGCCGAGAAAATTTATCTGGATTTTCAAACGTGGTTTCAGCTTGTCAGTAGTGCAGTGCGGAGGTCCTGACAAGGACAGCTGTCTAGTCGTTTGGGTGGTACGAAAAACCGAGATCCCGTGTATATTTTGGTTTGCACGTAAAAGATCCCTTATCTGCCATAGTGCCGCTTCCTGGGCAAAATTTCCCTCATAGCACACTGTATGGCGTATGCCCGTCTTCATTAACCCAGTCGGAGGAGAGCAGTAGGACGTAAAACCCCATTCCATTCCATTTCCTGTGTAAGCTCCGTCCTACGCTAAATGTCATGAGTAAAACAACCGATTACATAATACTAAATATACATACCCGTGCCTCCATTATGATTTTACTATTCAGAGTGGATTGAAACTGAAAAAAATGGTTAACATATAAATTGCCAACTATATGTGTTATGTGTTGACTTGGACACACCGCTTCTGGGTCCGTGGCGGAGATTAAATTCTATAACTATATCTTGCAAATTACGTTATGTTTCATAGGGAATTCCCATAGACGTATGGATACCTCCTGGTCCTTTCGCCCAAAATCATGTCCAAAAATAAACAACAGGGGTTTCTACTAATTTAAACGATATAAAATTTCATACAGATCGGATGATAACTTTTGTCGTTAGAGCGTTCACATGGTGAAACAAAGCGAAACAAGGACCATAACTCAAGGCATAATAAACGGAAATTGCTGAAATTCCATAACCTTCTTCCTTTCACTAATTTAAATGATGCATATAAATTTCATACAGATCGCATGATAACTGTTGTCATCAAAGCGTTCACAAGATTCAACAAAGTGAAACAAAGATCATAACTCTAGATGTAATTAACGGAAATTGCTGAAATTCAACAGGATTCTTCGTTTTACTAATTTAAACGATGCATATAAATTTCATACAGATCGGATGATAACTTGTGTTGTTAGAGCGTTCACAAGGTGCAACAATGTAAAAGAAGGGCCATAACTCCATAACTCCATCTAACTAAATTAACAAAATATGTCAATTTCCAAACAATCAGATGATAAATGTAGTCCGTAGAGTGTTCACAAGAAACTGTGGACGACGGACGGATGGACGGACAGGGTCGACGGCAATATACGACCACATTTCCATGTGGGCGTATAAAAACGAATCTAAATTCAACATACTACAGTACTATGGAAGACAACCATTATATATACGACGTTTCGACAAGGTTTTACCAGTCATATAAATTCTAAATGTTTCAATGAAAGACTATAATGTTATAAGTCAAGTGGTAGCCACGGTGGCTCAATGAGTAAGGCATTGACTCGCTAACCTGTTTGATATCTGTGTTGGTCGAGAAAATTCACCGTGAATGCCTGGCGTGGTTTCCCGTGTCAGTGGTACAGGACGGAGAGTCTTAAGGGACAACGTGTAGTCGTATGGATGGGACACACAACTGAGGTCCCGCGTACACATTGGCGTGCACTTACAAGAGTCATTCGCAGTTGGATATAAGATTTCAATATAGGAGTAGGCTTTATGCACGCTGTCTGGGCAAAATTCCCCTTAAATCACACTATGACTATGGCGTATGCTCGTCTTTATTAGCCCCAGTCCATTTTGTACAAGGGAAACCAGCTCACGTTTACAACAATACCATTATCATATAGTACATGAATTATAAAACAGCTGAAATCTAGTGACACAATATTACAATATTATACGATAACTTACATATAGAGACATATTTCTACGTATCTTATGGTGAACGAACACTCAATTTTATAAACGCCAGGACATACCAGGAAATAGATCAAATAGATCATGACATCACAACACGTAATGGTGGTCTGCATTCAAAACATCACCAGAAAAATACGTGAATAATAATAATAATATATATATATGTATATATATATAAAAGGATAAGTATGGTGATACTGGATTCATGTGGAACAAACAGGTCAAATGACCTTTAGAATGTTTGCACATACATATAGAACCAACGACAACAAACAATTACGTGATGATTATGAGATATGAACTAAGATAAACAGATATACACAGGTTATCTCCCTTTAATTGTTGTTCACGTCTTTCTCCTCGCGTGTGACATGCTACCCACAGATATCGTATTTTATTTTGGATTCCGAGAAAAAATTCCCGGTGGAAAAAGTTACGGTTTTTTCCCGGTGGAAAAAGTTACGGTTTTTTCCCGGTGGAAAAAGTTACAGTTTTTTCCGGTGGAAAAAGTTACAGTTTTTTTTCCCGGTGGAAAAAGTTACAGTTTTTTTCCCGGTGGATTAAGTTACAATAATTCCCTGTGCAAAACGTTACAATTTTATTCCCGGAGAAAAATAATATTATATAATTAACGAAACAGTTGATTTGATATTTTGAAATGCAACATTTTGTCAGAGCCGAAGTATCACAGATTAAAATGTCGACTTTGTTTGATAATTTATTAAAAGAACATAATGCTGATACGTCATCGAGAAACTCAGTTTGTTATCGACAAAGTAATCCAGACTACAATCAGACAAATATAGAATTTCAGACCTTCTTTTGTTGTTTTACATGTGAAAATCGATTTTGTTGCTAGTCGTACTGTTTCTCTCGATATATAATTCCTCTGGATTTCTAGTCTGGTTTCGACTCGTCAGTTGCGAACAGCGTTTAGTTGTTCGGGGGGGGGGGGGGGGGTGGAGCGACGCCGCTGTCATGGGCGTGCGAGCACGATAGATGTTAGGAGGACAGACCCAAGAAAGTTTGGAAAACTTGACGGCAGCAAAGGCGTTTCCTTGCTATTCTAACCCGTTAATACAGCAATTCCAATGTGCTCCAATATAGCTTTAGTTGACTGACTTAAATTCCAAACAACCAATCAATCGTGTAGTCCACGGAGCGCCGGTGGCCGGATATGGTTCAGTCGCCCTTCCCGAGAAAATTTTGAAAATGTAACCGCCACAGGTACGTTTTTCTGCTAAATTAGCCCGTGAACCATATTAAAAGAAAAGTAACATTTGTGTGTTATTAGGTTTTGGGCACTTTATTGTGCCAACTAGATGATATTTTGCCAAGCAGAGTGGCTCCAGACAAAATGTTATATTCCATAGTCAATTCTATACAGTTTCGCGGTATTCAATAAACAGAAACGTAAAATTAGTGTTTAATTGGATTCCAGGCACTTTATTTTGCCAACCAGATTATATATGATAATTTTTTTCCACTTAACTAATCTCCCCTAAAAATCTTGGCTCGTACGCCATGGCCGCTTTCCTGTAAACATTTCCCTCGTGGCACACTGCATGTCTTATGCCAGTCTTCAATGACCCAGTTGATGCAGTAGAGCAGGTTTTTAAAGCCCATTTCATTTGATTTTCTCTCAATAAATTTCGACAAAGCGTAACTTTTAAGAGTAGAAGTCAATTAACGTTAGAAATGATTCCACTACTGATGTCTCCCGTCCCGTCTTGCTCCAGCCACAGTAGTGGACCGTCCTAAGGCCTTCCTTTGAGCAAGTTTTGTAGTCATTTGACAACAAAAAAGTTACTGGCCCATAGCTCCCTTAATTTCCAATTATACTGTACATAGCTTAACATAATATACTCTTTAAAAAAGTAGGGGATATTTAGAAACAATACAAAACTGCTGTTTTTATTAGAGGTAACCAGTGTATGTTAATAACAGTTCAATTGCCTACACATGAACATAAATAGTTCATATGGGCGGCTTATCTGACGGCCCAATTTCACTCGCAAAGATATGGACGTTTTTGATTTTTGTCTTAATAATGAGTAATTGATCCACCAATCCTCATGCTGGTGAGTTAATGGAGGCACAACACGCGGTCATCGCGCATGCAAATGGGCTGCATGTAGCTGATTTCTAATCGTTTGGGGTGTAATTCGAATTCCTGTAACTTGGTACAAGTTTACAGAACGCTGATTGGTCGTTTGTCCTCGATTTCGCAGGACCTGTGTACGAATGTATCGATCCTGGGCTTGTGTATTTGCTCTAGGACGACCTGAACGAGGTCTATCATCAACATTGTGTGTTTGTCGGTACCGGTTCCACAGTCTGCTGATCACAGACTGTGACACATTAAGCATGTTGGCTTCTGCTCGCTGTGTAGAACCCATCTGAAGCATGCCAATAGCACGTAGGCGTTCATCATGTTGAAGACGTCTCATGGCAAATTAAACGTAACACACTAAAGCAAAGATACGCTAAACAGTAAATCTTTTGCAAGAACCGATAGGAAAGCAAACATGGATAGGATAAACCAGCACGCGGCAGTTTTCATCAACCCCTCCCACGTGTATTGCGTTATTGCGTGCCGCACGTGCAGCTTAGTGGTTCTGTTGGGCGATAAGTTCTCCATCTGTGAACATACTCTCAAAGCATGTCAAGTGTCCATGATTATTTATCATATCACGACCTGCATAGGTATTTGCATTTCAATATCCCCTACTTTTTTTGAAGAGTATATAATAAACCAATTTCTGTTCAGTTTAAAATGGCCGCCAACCCAGAATCACGTGGTGTCATTGCTACTCGAAAATACAGAAAAACTGTTCGGTAAGATAAGATTATGCTTTCAGTTTTCCACTCTTCACTATTTGTAACATAATTACTTATTTCCATGCAAACTGTGATGATATGTGTTGAAAATTTTGCAATTGAACCTAATTTTACTTGCTCAAAGATTCGAATAGTGTATCAATTGAAGCCGTGGATAAGAATTGCAGCTAAACCAACGTTAGCATCAAACAGAGCACCACCGTTTGCTGAATTGCCCGCAAAATTATCGTTGGCAAGGTTGCCGTACGCACACATGGCACTCGAATGCAAAACATATATGAAAATTGGCGCTTTGTGTCTGGAACACTGGCTTGTGGAGATTTAGTAATGAGAGGGCCCAAATCCTTGATTGCATGCATCCAACACTCAAGTATTGGCCCTATAGTACTGAGAAATGGGGCCATTTTAAATATGTAAAACAAATGAAATAAACATTTTTTCAATCACGTGCTCTAACCCTGTTGACATGTCATTACCTTGGGAAAATCTGCAATTGGCCATGTGAAATAGACCTAACCTTCTATCCAAGTCATTCTATTACAAAACTGGCAAAGAAAGAATGCGGAACCTCTTATCCATTAAAACAAGGTAACCGCAGACGAATTAACCTAATTTAATCTATTTGACACGATACTGTGCCTTTGGTTTCACTATGTTATGTAAAAACAAGCACCTGTTGGTCTAAGTATTAAAGTAGATTGAATATATTTATGAGGTAAACAAACAAATGTTTAAATAAATAACATCAAAGGGCGAACTCTTGTAGCAAACACTGAATCGTGATTTGGATGGAAGGGGCATTTTTATATTCTCATCTCGGCGTGCGTGAGGTTTTATTCCTTCATTTTTATTCATTGTCTAGTTTTATATCTGAAATGGAATGGATTGATGCTTAATTCCTGTACAACACAATATTTTGTTCGTTTCGAGACTGGTAATCTGGTAACGACAAATCTTTTAAGTTAATGTCAGCAATGCGCGACGGGTTGGATTGGGGGTGTTGGGGGGGGGGGGGTCAAAGGCAGAGATCATTTTCGCCTACTCATTTCCTAATTCTAAACTGCCAATTGATCATTCATGTACACCACGTAAATAAACTTTTTTGAGCTGCTCCTGAGAAGTGGGGACGGTGCTTGGAAAATCGTAACGTTTGTCCACGTCGGTCGCTGGGATTCGAACCCGGGATATTCTATTGTTGGTTCAGCATTCTAACCACACAATCACCGCGTTCCCTTAGCTGCAATAAATTCAGCGATGTAGAATTTGTTATCAAAATACACCTTAAGTACCAATATAGATGTTAATTTTTAAGACCATATACTTACGTTCATTAAATACTATTCTGGTTCCTAGAAAAGGTAGAGAGAACTTTAAAGACAAATGACAAATTTGGTATGGAAGGGAAAAACACCCATCGGACGTGTACAGGACGTAATGTGTGCTTCGTATGTATTCGTCAAATGGCCAGCGGTTGTGAGAACAGCGAGAGATTTAAACGTACAGTACAGACTCTGTTAGTAAACGACAAAAAAGGGGAATAATTCTAGACTCTACTCAGGCTTCGATGTTTATGGTAAATTGGCAGCGATTAAAGGGATAAACAATACTACTTAAATCTGTTTCTGGTAGTTTCTTGTGATTAAAATGTTCTGAGAGAGAGGTTTGAATAGATAAGTTAGTATGAATATATTATAAGTTCAAATATATCATCAAATCACACAGTTAGTGCGTAGGGTTAGTGCGTAGGGATACATATTTAACTAAACAGGAATACTACTGTCGTAAAGGGAAAATTCGTCCGGTTCCTTCAGAAAGTAAACACCAGACTCGGGGACATTAGTAAAACGACTGTCGTAGTATCAAGTCATATCATCATAATAGCTCGAAACATGGGACCTGGTTCATAAACGGGACACCATCAACGTAGATTTACCAAAGTATGCTGGCAAGCTATAGTTTCCTTAGTAATTGGGCTTTGTCGGCTGATAATTTACCGACGCATAAATTGCTGGATACAAGGCAGAGTCACATTGTGTTCCCCTGGCTGTATGATATGTTTTTAACCAAAGGGATCTGCCTTCAGTTCATTGTGTGACCCACTTAATAGTTATAACAGTAACAAAAAGATATTTACTTCATCACCCATGTGTATTAAATGGATATTTTGCTCTAGTATATTTCCAAGCCTGGACAAAAAGATTTTCACTGATGTAGTCTTCCTTTCATTTCTTAATATGTATCGTGTAGTTGCTGATAAGAATGTGAAAAGATATTGCGTTATTAATT